ATTAAAGATGATGTCGGAATTGATTATTCTAATCGAACACCTCAATTGCACACTAAAAATACTCATTCCAGAAAGGACTTTGAAGGACCATCGAAAGGAATAACAAATGCATTTGGTGGCGAATATCCAAATTCTTTGCAGAAGAAAACATCTAGGGATAGTGTTAAGAATCAGCAAAACAGTTATCGGTATTTTTTTGTTTTTTTTTTATTAAGGAAAAAATTTATTTTATTCCCTCACTATTATTTTATTCCATGAAATGATTAATATATTCTCTTTCTGGTAAATTAAGGTCTACTAAATTCACCAGCAATATACCCGGAATAGTACATCCCCCATTTGAAAACTTTGAGAGATTAAATGATATATCAAAACATCATGACAACGATAATCTTCAAGTTCAAACAGATTTACAACCATATTATGAGAACCCGTCTCCCTCACCATCTTTGCTGGTGCAACAACCTTATGGGCAAGATGATACATCAAAAAACATTGATGCCCATTCTCAACGTTTAAGTAATGCAGAGGAAGATGTTCTTTTTGAAAGAGAATATGTTGTTGTCGAATCAAGACGTTTTGTTGAAGTTAATAAATTAGCCGATGGTATGCCAATAAAATTTACAAATGAGACGCGCACCATTCTAAAGGACATTTCATACTTATGCTCTTGATCTGTTCTTGATAAATTTTTTGCACTGTTTAAATATAAATATGTATGGCGCGTTCGTTGTACGATGTAGAACTTGCTGCTTCACCTAAATCTGCTGGATTAATACAACGACATCCAAATAAAAACGCGGCTATTGTATATACTGGTCCTATAACTACAAATCCAATGGAACTTCAGTATCGAACACCAAATATGAACACTTCAGGTTCATTTTTTTATTCCACCACACCACCTTTCGCTTTACCATTTGCTAGCCACGAAAAAGCTGGTTCTGGAAGCGGATCATCAGCTCTTGCTAAAGCTTTATCCGTTGCTTCAACCCGTTTATTTGGAACGGGCAATTCTCCGCCCTCATGGAGTGATAAGTATTCAAAACAGAAAGGAAACATGATTACCTTTCCAAATGATATGACAATTGACCCTGAAGAGGTTGTAGATACATTTATTAAGATATATATGTTATTTAGTTTTAGTATATTAACATTAGATACCAATTGATTCACAAACAGGACGCTGTTGTCAAGAAGATTGAAGATTACGCTCATAAAGCACACGTGATTTACCAATTTGCAAACACTAAACTTGATTATCTTTTACCTCCACTACCTACCGCTAACAGTGAGCTTATGAATGGTCATGCTATCTCAGCTGAATCTTCCGCTAGAATGGCGCATGAAGCATGTGTTTTATATTTAAAGTCACTTTCGCTATTACAGAGCGCCATGGATAGCGCTGGAGAATATTGGGCACGTGTTAATGAAAAGCAGCCTAATGGGAAAGGAGCATCTCCTAGACTTAATCATGGTAGCGTTTAAACTTTACTTACTAAATATTTTTATATTTATCAAAAAATTTATAATATTCATGACAAACATTAATATTTGTTAAATTTATTACACAGCTGTCCAATGGGTACGTAAACGGTTTAATGAGTGTCTAGAAAAGGCAGAAATCGCCAAGTCAAGATATTTATCAGAAGAAGAGATGAATTTTAACGGATGTTTTGTAGAAAAATTGCTCTATGATAAAGCCTTGGAAATGGTAAGTTAATTTAAAATATCACAATTAAGTTTATTACTTTCTTCAATTAAACGAGTTTCGACTTTCTAGAGTCGACAAGCTGCGATAAATGAGTTAGTTCATGAAGACTTGGCTGCGTGCGAACGAGCATATAAAGCCGCCATTCATATGTTATATGCGATTTTAGAAAATCCTATGGAAGATGGTGATGCAATTGAAGAAGAAGATCGACTTACAGTAAATAAATGTATGTACATTTATAGCTAGATTATTATTATTATTATTATTATTATTATTATTATTTGCATTAATTTATTTTTCTTAAATATCTAATAGTTATTTCGTCAATTAATAATCGATTAAATTCCCTTCAAAAGAAGATGGCATCACAGTTGGACGTTTCTGGGTAGGTAGGGTTGCGACCCAAACCTTTTTTTGAATGATGACATTAATATGTAGTTTGAGTATGGAAATCGGATTTCTACTTTTTTGGGGATAATAACCAAAGCCCAAATATATGTCCCATTTTCGGTTAATAGTATCAAACTCAAGAACCGGTTAAATTTATTAAATCAATGCTATAAATTATTAAAATTTCATTTTCAAATTAAAAACTTAAGAGTGATTTAAGACTAAGATTGTTAAATAAATTAATGTTTTTCACATTCGAAGTAAACTCTGAATTATGAATAAAAACTTTTTACTGAAATTTGAGTGTCTACCCGTTTTTAGAAAAGTAGAGTCATTAATAAAAATTGGGTGCGGAACAAAAAAACCTCAGTTAAAATCCTGCCAGAATTTTTAGGCAGAAAATCCCAAATTTGGGGGACGTTTAAAGCCTGGCACCTTCCGGTTTTCCGATTTTTAATTAATATTAAGGATTAAGGTTATACATAGGCTGGAAGGTTAATAGGTATATAGTAAAATCCTATTTCCAACACTTTTACTTAGTGCATTAAGACCAGTTTAGATAGCCATTTTTTATATTTTCGTGTTTTTTGCTTTGTCGGGTTGTTCGGAATAATGCGGGAAATATATCGGGAAATTTCGTAATGTGCCAGGCTTTAAACGACCCCCAAATATGGATCATGTTTAAAGCGAACTAGACTAATTAAGGTTAGATAAGGGTTAGGCTAGGGTTAGCTAGAGATGTTAACAACTTGTTTAAAATTAGCTCAATTATAGCTTTGCAATCAAGTTATTTAAAGCAAGCCATAGCTTTAAATCATAGCTTAAACTACATCAGAAAAATTTTTAAGCAGATTTGTATTGATATATAACATTTAATTGATATATATTGATTAATTGCTATATATCGATATATATTACTATTAATATATAATGATTATTGATATATAACAATTATAAACAATTATAATCATTATCAATTTGTTAAATTTTTTTAAGAATAGGAAGTAATGTAGATTATTTTTATATAAAAATGTATGGTATTTTGAAATTTTTATCTAAAATTGATATATTTTTTAATTAATCAATAAAAAAAATTTATATTATAAATAAAATTATTTATCTATTATAATAAAATTTTGAAGTATTATATTATTTTAAAAAAATATATTTGTATATATTACAAAGTTTTTGGGATGTGGTGACCTGGTGAAGTAATCAGGTTATCAACCTTCCAAGTGGTAGATTGGGTGTTCAAATCTTATTGATAGTGAAAATTTGAATAATCACCTATATAATATTCATATTATATCAACTGTTATTAACAATTAGGTTAGGATATCTGTAATGATAGTTGCACTGCATAACTGGCAGGTCATGGGGCATCTGTGCAATGTTAGAGTTATATAGAGAAATGTAAACTGACAAATCAGGCAGTACAAACATTAGATAAGTCCTTGTGCCTATGTAAATCTATTGAAATTAGGTAACAAGAAGTCTATTTGTGAAAATCTAAGTAGAGGGTAGTTGAATCTTCGATGACCCTACTGTAAAGGCTAACCTGAAAAAATAGATACCAAGGTCTAATACCTAGTCATAATAATCAAATAGGCAAGAACCTCCAAGTTGAAAGTCTTAGAAATACTACTAATCAGGTTACCGGAATGAACCAAAGAAAAAGAATATCAGGCTAATCTGATATACTGATAAACTGATCATAGTTCTACACAGGCTATCTGGATTAAAAGTTTGGTAAAAAGACAGGAGAAAAGGCAGAGGTATACTAATGTACTAATGTTCAAACATTCAGATATCCAAGAATGTTTGCAATATATACAAGCTTCAAAAATTAATATATTAATTTAAAAAATATATAATTATATATTTTTTATAATACATGCTAAATATTTTTATTAGAAAGTTAAAATAAATTAATAAAATTTTAAGTAATTTTAATTTATTTATTTGTCAAAAATGTTCAAAAATATTCAAATCATGTTCACAACTGTCCAATAACAACACTGGTCTAGATATTAAACAACTGCCAAAAAATTAAATGCTTTTGTTGTTCTGTACTGTAAATTATAAGACTATATGAACTTAACGTTTTGGTTTTCATAACATGAAGACTTTTAATCAAACCCGCCAACCAGCTTGTTTTTTTAAATTTATAAAAGTTAAAAAATACGTCAGTTATTAAACCATAAAAAAAAAACAGGTTTAAAAGTTTAAAATTTTTAGCCTAGCCGGTTATAAAAACCAATTAATTTTGCATGACCCAATTTAAAAAATTTTAAACATTAATTCTGTAATTAACCAGTCATATCGGTCACTACTAATTTATATATGAAATGTAAAATTATAATAAAAAATAAAATTATATAGTAAATTACTATTAACTTTAAATTAAGATTCTTTAAAAACTTATATATTAATTTTATAATTTATTTTTTTTATTTAATAAAGAATCTATACTAGAATATTATTGCAAAGTTTCCTTTAATAGTTTATAAACTCATGATGTTTGCTTAGAAACAACTGAAATTTTAATAGTAAAGTTTTATCTTTTGCGCGTCTATATATACATATAAAAATATAGACGCGCGAAAGATAAAATTTTACTATTAAAATTTCAGTTGTTTCTAAGCAAACTTCATGAATTTGTAAACTATTAAAATGAAAATTTGCAATAATATTCTAGTATATATTCTTTATTAAATAAAAAAAAATAAATTATAAAATTAATATATAAGTTTTTAAAGAACCTTAATTTAAAGTTAATAGTAATTTATTATATAAATTTTATTTTTTTACTATATTACTACATTAGAAGGGATATATTCCCCGTGTAATTTCAAGCTACTCGTTCTACGACAAAATTGTAAATCCAAGGTCTATGTTAAGAACCCTCTTTAGGATCGAACATATTCATAGATTGACCTAAATCCTCCAACTAATTAATTATTAAATATTAAGTATCATTCCGTATTAAACATCTGACAAATATAATAAATATAATATGGTTATAACTAACCTTTCCTATTAAATTATTCAAATTTGACATCAAATTATTTAGATCATGCTCTTTCTTTGCAAATTTTTCTGAATTCTTTTTGAAATTTTCTTCTGAATCTTCAGCTGTTTCTTTGGCAAACGGCCTTTACAGATTGCAATTAATAATTTAAAATTATAAGAAATGGCAATTAAACCCAATTAAAACTCTATACATATAATAATGAATAGTATACATCTCTTCATCCGGCAAATTTTCCAAGGAAATATGTTCAACAGCTAAAGATATTTGTTTTTTACGTATTTGATCCAATTCTTTGAATATACTATCCGAGTTACGACCTACACAATAATCTTGTTAAGTATAAATTAGGGTGGTTGGCAGGCTGGCGAGGCGAGCTTTTTTTTAGCTCGCCAAATATTGGCAAGACTCCCGCCACTATTTGGCGAGCTAAAAAGCTCGCCTCGCCAGCTTGCTAATCACCCTAGTATAAATTGATTTTTACAGCAAAAGTATATATTAAAAAATTATATTTACCGGGTGTGGGTGTTTCTTCGCTCGCAAGCATTTTATCCATTTTTTAAACTGACGAGGATTATTTAATTGGCTATAAAAAAATCATCGGTACCAGTATTAGCATAGCGGGCTTTAATTCTGATTGGTAAATCACTAATTGTATCACATTCATGGTCAGACATTCGTTTTGATTGGCTGATGTAAATCAATTGCCGGGTAACTTATTTATGCACTTTAGAGTACTTTTTGAGAATATAACGTTTCACTAATAAAAAAATCGTCGTAAAAACCATTCTTAGCTTAGATAAATGTTAATATTAACTGTGCAAAAGAATCAAAAAAGAATTATATTTCTGATTTACTTTACTTTTTTTTTTTTTTTTTAATGTTAATGGTGAAGCAATGCCTCTATCTTTATTGAATATTTAACTGAGATTTTTATATAAAGTTTAAATCTACTTTTAAAATATTATAGCAAG